GGTTGTAGGTAGTTTTCTTTTGACAGTCTGTGGCCGCTGTGGGATAGATAAGTACAATACATCGCTGGAGCCATCTGACATTTTGTCTTAATTCTAAAGGCACCCCCCCCCTACAAAAAAAACCCTGGTCTCTGCAGTTTTCTGATACTGATTTCCCCTCCTACAGCCAACCTGCTCTAGTCATGCTTCTGTCTTCCCTGCCCACCCACTGACCTGTGGAAAGCCTTCTCCCAGGCTTCTTTGTGCCCCGCTGCTGGTCTCTCAATATGCCTTCTTCTAGCCATAGTCTTCAGACCAAGAGTGACCCATGGCATATGTTTTATGGAGAGGTGCCGGCACGATGTGCTTAGTGCTTGGACTCAGGTTAAATAATACTCCACAGCAATTTACCCCAGTTCATACCAGTTGAGGAGCTGGCTAATGAATTGGTGGTGGTGTGCTTTCAAGAAACACCATAATCCCGTAACTCAGAGATTTGCCTTTTCTCACGGTGTGAGGGTGGCTGTAGCTTGTTTCAAAGGTGCACTGCTTCCAGGTCCCCCTTGTTCCAGCGGAAGATACTGGTGGGGAGTGTTAGAAATTGCTCATTTCCTTAAGCAGGAGAAAGTGCAGCACTGCAGGAGTAGGAGCTTCTGTGGAAAATGTATCTGTTGGTACAATACAGCAAACCAGAAGCATTTATAACCCTGGACGTACAATATGGGGTCTGGTCCTGATTGGAGACTGGAACCTTATTCAGTACTGAGCGTGGGCAATTCAGGAGCTGACCCTTTTTTGGTCTCTTTTGGGCTCTTTTTTGTCTCCTCTGCAGTGCTGTGTTCTTGTGCACATATTTGCACACACAGCAACTACAGGGAAGGTGTTCAGAGTAATGTCAGTGCACGAGTGCACCCATTATTAACTTTCATGTTGTAAAAAAGTTACAGAAGGCTGTTTAAAAGGGATTTCCAATTTAGGTTAACTCTTAAAATGTAAGTTTAATTACATACATTATTGACTTAAGCCTCAGTGGAGGCTGGTCGCAGGCACAAGTAAAGGTGATCCACCCACCTCAAACATCTTGCAGGACTTCTGTGTGTAAGTAGTAGCTGGGATTTTCTTTACACCAAAAGGTTGTACCATTCTGACTAAACCCTTTTAAACAATCACTCATTATAGAAACCATAGCATTACTTTGATTTAAGCAAGGGTTGGGTTTGTTTTTTTTCATTAGCTTAAGGTAACTAAGAAGGTTGAAGCTAGCTGTTTATTATCCTGACACTAACTTATGCCACTGATAGTGTCCTGGTTATTCCAACTCCTCTTTGTTGCCTCTTGAGCAAGCGTGGAGGGCCAGATCATGGTGACATTCCCACATCGCCTGCAGCCTGGAACTGCGTGCCTGCACCCTGCAGGCAAGCGCTGCTGCCTGCGATAGGAAGGAGAGGCAGCTGGTCAACGCAGCAGGGCTAAGACCTGCTTTCCGGACAAGGCAGTTGTCCCTCACTACAAGGAAGATCCCAGGCAGATTAAAAGATCACCGCTAGGATGTTTTATGTAGGTACAGTTCTACTACATGGGCAATAACTTAAATGCTCACAACCTGTCCCCCTAAGTTCTTGTTGAAAAAGCTTGCTCTCTCTTATTTCTTGAGGAATAATAATGGACCTGTTAAGCTGGAAAGAGAAAACCTCCCCCTCGTTTAGAAAGGAGTGCCAGAGAGAAGGGGAGAGAGAGAGTGCTGGCTTCTAGGAGAGATGTTTAGTCATTCTTCTCTGCAGAAGGCTGGCAGGGTACATTGCAAAGTTCATTTCCGAATCAGAAGAGCATGTAAAGACTGCTTGTTTTATGCACTACATTAATCGTACTTCACATATTACTCATAATATTAAAATACCCAAGTCACTTCACTGTATACCGGAGACATTTAGCTGCCAATTTTCAAATAATCGTAAATTGAGTGTGTCTGTTTGAGCCAGCCAAAATAAGCTAGATTAGATCATGAGTGTATGTCTGTGCATGTGGGTGTAGGGGGGAAAGAGGGACCAGCGTGGTGGCAGGGAGTGCTTAACGCCTTGGAAACGTCCTCAAAGGAGCAAAAGAGAGAAGAGGATAATGGTTCCTATTTTGATCTGCTTGTGCATTTCTCCACAGCGGGTCATATCCTTCACCTGCCACTTTTAATTTCCTTTTTCCACAGATGAACGCGGCTGAGCTTTTCTAGCAGTGCATGTCTTTGCTGTTCAGCGTTGTTGTGTGCCTGCACTTCGAATCTCTTGGTGAATAGTGGCAGGGTTTTTTTTTTTTTTTTTTCCCAGCCCAGTCCTCTGCTCCCAGCAAGCATTGAAAGGGCTTGTCTTACCAGGGACCTGGGGAGGTTTAACGTGGGTGCCTGAGGTCCCCCCACACACTCCGCTGCCGCCTGGCATAGCCCTTGCAATGACATCCCCTTGCAGTGGGAGCAGCCGTGTAAGGCTGGATCTGGCCCTGAGCCAACCAAGCTTGTCCACCCGTAGGAATCAGGCTTTCTCCTGCTGGAGAACTTATGAACTGATATCGCCTTTAGCTCTTCACAATACGGGGCAACCCCAAATCCTGGTACCTCCAGGATGGGCAAATCTGGTCCTGGTTTTGCTTTCCAGAGCTCTGAAGCTGGTTGCTGCCCCATTGCACCAGACTCCAGCGCAGTGTGAGCAGGGGGAGGTCAGCTGCAAAGCTCTGAAAAAGGAAGTTGCAGAGTCACTGGTAAAACCAGATCCCCAGGAGGGATCTGCATGCTGTAGCTTCTCATCCTCAGAAGATCTTTTCAGTAGATGTACTAGGGGTGTGATTTAAGTCAGCGACCCCCAAATACACCTCCTGAGCACCTCCGTGGCTGGTTGTTACTATTCCTTGCTCCTGCTGAGTACAGGCTGGGAGGTGGTATGCAGAATGAGAGCCACCCAGGGAGACAGTGCAGAGCAGGAAGACTTCTGCCCCGTGGTTTTTTTTTTAATAAGCCTTAAGATATCATCTCTCCTTTTCAGGTGCAACATCAAATAGGAAGAGACACAAGCCAAAATCTCTGTTTTCCTTTTGCAGTCAGGAGGGTTGTGAGGGAAGAAGAAAATAGCAGTGACAATAATGGCATGTTTTAATGCTATTGATAATTACAGTCATTGCTTTTGTTGTGCTATTCATAAATATATCTTAAAACACCATTTAGCGGTCAGTGTCATCATCTTTATTTAACATGTGGGGTAACTGAGGCAGGCAGAAGTGAAATAACTTGCCGTCACTGCCTGCAGTGGGACCAGTCATTTCAGTAAAAGCAGTCATATTAGAAACTGAGTAGCAGTAGTATAAGCAGTGAAGCTGATAAAAGTTACTTTCTTGTGTGCTGGTGTCGGGAAACTAAAGCATCTGTGTGCCTGTTGAATGAAGGCTTGAGCTCACCCTGCAGTATGTTCTTGGTCACTAAAGGATGCTCCTTCTAGCCTAGCTGAAACCTAAAAGACCTTAATGTTTTGGAGACTTCCACTCCATAGTTAAATGTGGTAGAAATTGCAAGGCGGTTCCAAGAGTGGAGGAGTGGGGATGAGCTGACAGACAGAGGGACCATGTGAGTCTTCTTTCCTTTTGGAGTCAAAGCTGTGAGGCTATAAAAGGTGGCACTGGGTTGGGGAAGGGGAAGGAGACTTCTACTCCCTTCTAATAATGCTGGAACAGGTTTGGTCTCACCTTTCACTGGCATTTCTTTACCTTTGTCCTCAGACATAAGCTCAGTGATTTAGGCTGATGTGTCATCATGCTAATTGTGTCAGGTGTATTTCAGGAGCATTTCAGGGCTTCATCTTGAAGCACATACTCATTTCAGTAACCCTTTGAGGTGCAGTCTTGTTAAGTTCATGGGAACAGTAAGCATACCTGCTAAGCACGTGGATTACCAGCTACCTGCAGTACCTGGCAGGTTTTTGTCATTCAGCATCCTAGAATTTATGGGGCTGGTGGCCATACGCCCCAGGGACAGGCAACGTTGGGTATGTGACTTTCTGATGAGCTAGCGAATTCTGTGGTCTCAATCCTGTCTTGGTTTGTGTCTGATGGCAGCAGAAAGCCACCACCTCTAAGCAACATCTGATTGCAGGACAGTTACACATGGCATTGAAAATGAAGAGGGAGCATTTTTGTAGGACAGATGGTTTGCCTGTGTAGCACATCGCTGACTCTCTCGCTGTCCGCTGTAGAAACTCTAGACCTGTTGTTCTTTCAGTGCAGCCTTGGTTTTCCTTTAGCTGGAGCAAGAGCGTAAATCTTTGAGAAATGAGTAAGTGGTAATAGGAAACAGTCTTTGTAACCAGTTGCCCCTTTTCTATTGTTTCATTTTTGAAAATGAATGAGAGGTTGGTTAAATTAAATTGGTTAAAATTCGTGATTGTCCAGTGTTCCTTTTTTTTTTTTTTTTTTGGAAGAACTAACCATTCTTGGGATTACATTCTAGTAAAGGGATGCTATATTTGTGGGTTAAAGTTCAGGTGTAGTGTCCAGCCTGGGTAAATGCTGGCTTGTTGCCAAAGAAATCAAGTAACCATAGCTCAGACAAACATATGCCAACAATGCTGGGAATATCATCCCTGATCTCATAGTGAGGCTGTTAATTGTCTCTGTGGTGAGCCGCAGAGACAAAAATATACTTTAAAATACTTCAAATACACTTAATATATGAATATATTCAAAGTTGTACTTAATATACTTAAAGTACCTAAAATATGTAAGCCTAAGTTTTCTAAAAGTACTGATTTAAGATGCACAACTGTTGAAGTTACCGATTTGGAACAAATGAAAAAGAACTGATTTTCAAAGATGTTATCTATTTTTTAGGCAATAATTCCCTTTAAGGCATCTGGGATGGGGTACCAGAAGTCATCTATGACTTTTAAAAAGGTCCTGCACTGTCTAGGCAGAGATGTTAGGCTTACTGTGGAAGTGATACCCTTCTAAAATGTGATCAGGTGCTAATGACTCCTAATGTCCTCTTTCAGTATCCACAATGGAGTAATAGCGGTGTTCCAGCGTAAGGGTCTCCCGGACCATGAACTTTACAACCTCAATGAAGGAGTCAGGTAAGAGACTCGACTCTGTTGCAAGGTGTTACTAGCCAGCGTGCACAGTACTGTTTGCTAGCACTTGCACTTGAAAGCTGCTACAGCAGTATTACGGTTTTTTTTTTCCTAGTGGTAGTTTCAACCATTACAGTCAATTTGGCCTCAGTGAATAGCTGTTGCTGATGTGTGTCAGCTCCTCGCTGCGTAGCAAGAGCTGTGTTCCTTCTTCTGCCAAGGAGGTATTTAGCTGTAAGGAGGATGGATTATTTCAGAGTCTTGTCTTGACATATTGGATTGAAACCAAGGACAGGAAAACCTGGACCGCTCTGATAATGCAGCCCTATACCACTGCAATGATGCTGCCCTTTCCATAGGTGTCAGGCCTAGCTCTAAGGTGCTTCCCTTGCATCCGTGGAGGACGTAAAGCCTCCAAGTAAAGCCTCCAAGCGCTCCGTGCGACACAGCAAGGAAAGATGTCGTGCCTGGTGGTCCACCTGCCTGGTGTTAAGACATCTCGCTACTCCTTCCATGCAGGCTGAATATGCTATAGATGTTACAAAGCTGTCTTGTCAGCACAATGAGCTGAGTAACACAGTTTAAGGTTCCTATTTCTTTCTCTGTGATGATACTTGCAACAGAGCAAATATAGACTAGTGAGATGTGTAATAGGAACTTTTTTCCCCTAAAAAAAAAAAAAGGTGAAAATCCTACCATTCGAGTTATTTAAGTTAGAGCTGCAAAGAAAAGTTTACGCAGAGATAAGCTGATATCTGGATTTACAGCACTTTTTACTACTTTTTCTAGCACTTTACTATTGCTTACTAAACCCTCTCTCACTGACAAGGGTAAGGTAGCAGATTTTCTTTTAGAAAGTTGTCCCAACGTTTTAAAGAAGAAATGGTGAAAAAGAAGCTGCACTAACAAAAGACAGACAGCTTATTACATTCCCTGCCTGTCTTCAGATAAGAGCCTCAGTAATTCCCTTTGCCTTACTGCTTATTCCCACTCTATCCGGGCACTGGAGTCTGCCAAAATCCACAGAATATCCAGATATTCTGGGATTATCTGTCACTGTCTGGTTCCCAGTCTGGGATAGCTGGCCCAGTCTGGTTCCTTTAATTGTAGGAGTATCTTCAGAGAAGTCCAGGCAAATGACATTTGACCTGTGATCTCTCTTTTTTCCTCTCTCTCTGTCTTTTTGAAATGGAAAGAATCTTATTCTCCGGTTATTTCTTACTTCTCTGGGGAGAAAATGACATACAAAGAATAGCTTTTCTAGGATGGTTGTCAGTTAGCACGATCCATCAATCATTTTGAGTTAGTTATTGGTATAATGGTTGATCATTATTACTGTAAGTGCAGGTAGGATTCTTCAGCTTTATCTGAATGACAAAAAGTGGTAGTTCTGGGCTGATATTTCCTGGCCCAATGCATTTGCCTCAGGATGTTCATCTGCTGGTGAGGGACAGGGGAGGAAAAATTATCCGCTGATGTGACAAACATAATCTTGTATGAACCAACAAATAGAAGATAGATAGATAGATAGATAAATGTTTTTTGGTGAATTGTGCCCAGATCTTACTTCCATTTACCTGGGTATAAACCATGATGATGCTTGCTAATATAGTTGTGTTGAATTTATTGCAACATCCCAGGCAGCCGAATGGGCTGATTTTTTTTCCATTTTATGATGGGCTTTTCTGCCACGATAGGCCCATTTCTTTTTGTTCAGGTAAGGATAATGCTGCTTTGTTGTTGTCTCGGCTGATTGCTCAGTTTTGCTCTGCTTCCTGGAGAACAACGCTTGGTGACTCATACCTGAGCTGATGGACAAAATATTGTGAAATCTAGACCGAGCTAGAAAGCTGCTGTTGTAAACGAGGCATCAGCAGTGTAACTCTCATGGAATGAGCAAGCGGTTGGTGAGATGCAGCGTGGCTTTCGAGACTGGTTCTTGTCTACTGCTGCTTTGAGGTTGTTCCCTCTTGCCTCTGACTTGGCCTGAACAGCCTCCTAATTTGTAGCCAAAAGCTGTCCATCCTCTTGGTGACAACTCTGAGTTTGTTTTTGTGAAGCTTCTCGTGTTTGTCCTGCTTGCTTCATTCATAGAAGAAAGCTAAGATGAGAAAACTGCGAGGGGGCAAAGAGGAGACAACAGCTGAAAGGTTGTGTCTCTAGAGGAGAGTACAGTAGTGGTATTTTTTAAACATGCCTGTTCACACATCCAGCCACAGCCTCTTTCCAGAAGCTACTGCACTCCTGCTGTGTGCTTCATTTTATTGCCGACCACAGTCAATAATGTTTTAGGGCCTTCTGACTATTTGCAGCCGCAGCCCTTTTGCCTCACTTAAATTCAGCTCAAAACCTAACTAAGAAATTACTGATTTGACACATACCAAAAGTATCTGGCTTACTTCTGTTGTTATTTAATGCAAAATACTTTCTTTGGGTTAATACTATTATTGAATGCAAAAATACCTCATTCATAAACATGACCTCAGGAATGGAACAAGTGTATATTGATTTACCTTACGATTGTTTTAAATGCATTTTCCCCACAAGTACATAAATAAAAAGAAACAAATAGCCATTATTTCCACTGGGCAGAAATTGAGTGCGGAAGCACTCAGATAAATGGCTAGTATCAGTAACTTTTTTCAACAGTTACAGGACAGTAAAAGAAGTTACTTTATTTTACCACTTTAATTAGAGCAGATTCTGGGATACTTTTCATAATTAAACCTTGAATATCAAAGTTGACTCACAGACCAAGTGTAAATATTTGAACAGTTACGTTATGCCCGCAATATTTGCACACCATCATTTTGACTCAGGAATGTCACGTATATTCAACTACTGTATGTCACATACGTGCAAACAAATACGTATAACTTCTTTTTCTGAACACACATCTCGAGGCTTTGAACCCTTATTATGTATGCACTGATTATTTAAGAAAACGTCAGTGGGTACAAATCTGTACAGTACCATTTACTTTTCTTCTAGGTTTGGCTCATAAAAGCTGCCACTCATTTACACCAATGCCTTTTGACACCATTCTTGCATTCCTCTGGCATTAGAAAGTGGCCTTAAATATGGAGTTATGTAGCGCTCAGAAGTCCTACTACTAATCACATCAGTATGTGACTTTAGTCTCTTTCATATTGCTTTAACTCCTGAATAACTCTGCTAAAGCTAATGAAATACGGTAAGGTGGTGAGAAGATACTCCAGTAACTGGCAGTATTGCTAGTGTACATCTTGTATATTACTTCTTCTGAGCCCTTACTAGGTGATTTAATAGGGGATTGATTCAGAAGTTAGGTAATGAATGTCTGTATGCATATACTTACTGTTTAGTATTTCTCTTGATGTATGAGTGATACTAGCAATCATACAATGTTTTTTCCTTCTTCATTTCATGCACCATATGTCATTTCAAAGTGTTTATTTACACCACTTGTAAATCAAAGAAGAAGAAGGAGGAAAGGGAAACACAGTGGAAGCAGGATGTCCTGTATTAAAGCTAATACATATTTATAGCTGCCTCTCTTCTGAGTTTCAGGATACTGATTTGATGCAAACAAAGCACATTTTAGTGGCATTTCCTCTTTTGTAGCAAGAGTTCAAATCCAGTAAAGTCACTTGTTCCCATTGGCTTCATTTAACTTTATTTAACAAATATTATACAGTGTTAGACTTTCCATTCTGAGTAATGTTGCAAGAGTTAATTTCAAAATGAACCAAAGAAGTGGCGGCAGGAAGATACAAAAAAGTCAGGAGCTATTTTAGCATATTTTATGTGAATTTATATTATCATCTTAATTTGTGAAGTCATTCAACAGGCAATGAAGACCTTATACCAATGATACACGAGCTTCATAAGAGTGCAAAATGACTGCCTTCAAAATAAGATGTGCTTGAAATGAGGTCTGCCATCTGATCAGGGATCTCTTTTAGGTTTAATCAGATTTTTTTGTGGATACCACCATGATGTCCACGTATCTAGATAAGGCAATTCTGAATTGAATTATCCAGGATTTGACAGGTGACAACCTAACTGATTTTTGTTAAAGGAATTAAGCAAGGATAAAAAAAATTGCAAGCAATGTCTTGGATCCAGTTTTGTTGTGGATCTCTTTTAAATGAACATGGGTACAGAGAACATCAAACACCAGTGTTCAGATGTGGCCTGAGGGCCCCACTATTTCACAAGAAATTAATTAAGCAGCGTGAAGTATCTGTATTATTAGGGATTCAAAGAGCAAGATGCATTAATTGCGCTGTCAGTTCTTCCATCCTGTAAAGAGAGATGCTAATGTAGCCATAGTGCTGCTTGGTGTGATGCAGTCCAATGCATATAATTAACTGCAGGCCGGTTGTTTAGTTCATTCACAGCTGAAAAAATGGAAATGTGGTGGGATTTTATTTTATCAGAGGGCTAGTTATTGGATAAGTAGAACATCATTTTGTATTTCCTGCCCTAAACGCCAGGAATTATCAGTAGAACCTAAAATATGAAAAGAGAAGGTATTTGCAAATCACCTGTTCAAGACTATGAGCAATCCAGGAATAGACTTCAAAGAGCTGCTAGCTTGAGGAGAGGGTAGAAAATTAAGCAAAACCTGTCAGCATAAAGTATCAGTATTTTTCTGAAACAGTGGCACAAAGAGATATCTGGGAATAAATTGTCTCTAGCCTGGGAGAATTCAAAACTACAACTTTCTTGTTATTTTCGCCTAAAAATGTTTTATCTGTCCATGTTCAAAGTAAGAAAAAACTTCAGTGCCATTGCTTGTAATCCAGAAAAAAATCACACCACTTGGACAGTAAATTCCCACTTTGAGTGAGCATGGCATGATTTGGCGATAGCATCCTTGTACTCACTGACGTACTGTTAAGGCTTTAAGACTTTAACAGTCTTTGGGGGAGGTGGTTTAACCCCTGCCAAGGGCTTGTCAGTGGGTACCATTGAGGATGGAGTCTCAGGGCACTGCAAGGGTTGTCCTCTCCCATATGTTGCAACAGCATGCCAAGGGGGCTAGCCATATCATGGCCATTTACGGCATTAAGTAGACATATGGCTAAAGCCTGAGCTAGCTTTGAAAATTTTTGTCCGTAGATGGTTTGTCTGAATTAATCAGGTTTCTAGCAGAAAAGGATTTTGATGCTTAGGAGTATCTGAAAACCCTCTTCCTTTTGTTTATTTTCTGTTTCATTTATGCCTAGAGTGTTTCCACAGGGTGCCGTGAAGTCAGTGTGGACATGTGCTTAAGGATAAATAAATAAGATATTGTATTTCAGCCTCGTAAAGATTGACCTGCTCCTGCTTTCCCTGAACTTTCAGAAGATCTCAAGAGGCTTTGCTGTGGCATGCGGTGTTAAAAACATCAGATCCTACTCCTGCAGACATTTTCATGGAATATAGGGATATGCTGGACTTTTGAAACCAGACATGTATTTGTTTACTAGTTAAATAATTTGAGTAATTAGTTATTTGTTAGTTAAAGACATAACCCAAAGGGATAGATGATATCATTTACATAACTACCCTAATTGAAGTGGGTGTTTAGATTTTAAGTCGAATTTGACCTCATTTCTTCATGGGACCTGAGGTGGTCACACAGGGACAGGTTTTCAAAAGAGCTCCAGGCCAGATTTGCAAATGTTCAGAAAATCCAGCTGGGGCTATGTTTTTATAAGGTCCGAGCTCTCACTTTTGCATCTAAATAGCAACCTGAGTGCAGAGAAGTACATCTAGCATCCAACATGCGAGACTTAAATGACATACAGCTCTTTAGCAGTGTAGTGAGTTTTATCTGGATACCAATGTTGGGCTTGTGGATTGGATTGAATTCAGTTCCTGAATGTGAGGGTTGTTTGTGAGAATTGTTTTGCATGTGAGTTCTGCTTGCTCTCTGAGATTGCTTTGTAGGTTTTAGTGTAGAAGAAACATGAAATGCAGAGCTAAACTGTCAAGTTCCTACCTGCTTTTTCACTGAAACTGCATGAAACTTCAGCTGTTGTGGGTCTCCTGCCTGGAAGATCATGAACCTTTCAATGAAAGCTGGCCAGGTTTCATGCCTGCAACAAAATCCACAGAATATCATCCCGCTTCAGATTTCTCTCTAAATATTTTGTCATGGCTCTTTTTTCCGACCATACACAGGACAGGGATGATTTGCCTCTGAACATGTCAGCCAAGTCACGTGATCGTTTTTTGGCTCAGGCCCATGGATGGGCAGAGAACACCAGGAGTTCTCCCATGTCTGCAATGCCAGGCACCAGTGAAGCCCTGGCACAGCAGGAGAACAACTCGAGCATTTTTAAAAGGGTTAGATATAGGATGGAAAGCATCCTCTTTTTGTCAAATCTCAATTTCCATTCTTACATATTTATGCAACTGAGCCATCTAAAACCACAACAGATTATCTTTCAGCACAGAGAGGTGCTGGTTGAAGTCTTGGTATCGTTGACCCTGTTTTCTCTATTCCTACTTAGGCATTATTGACAGGCTCTGTGCTCACATTAAAATATTTTGCTATTAATGACTTCCCCTTTTCCATGCAGTGCACAGCTAATATGATTTGCCCCTTACACAGATCCTTTTCTTATTCTTTTTAATACAGGCAATTATTGAAAACAGAACTGGGATCCTTTTTCACTGAGTATCTACAGGTAGGCATGTGTTTTCTTTCATTTAAATCAGATTTTGTTATATGCTACTGAGCAAAATCCTTTCACCCACTCTAAATGCTGATATGGAGCCCCTTGAAGCCATTCAGAGATGTCCACTGACTTCTCTGTGTTCTGTCATTCATGGACTAATGAGATTTGGGGTTTTTTTTTATATGTGTGTGTGTATATAT